CAGAACTGCGGAATTAGTGGCATGTGCTACATTATCATTATCACACAACAAAGGTTTAGCGTTTAACTCATTTGTCTTGTTCATCACAAGTTAGCTGGTGCTCCCTGTTGCATAACACGCGGGCACCTAAAGAGCTTACAGGCACGATATCTTCACTCTGAACCTCCACCTGGGCACCTTCCCTTTTTGATGAGCTCACGACTTAGTTCTCCTAGCACTTAACCTTTGTTCAAATCACAACAGGGGACGTAACTGATTTGCGGGGAAGTTTTTGATTGCGGACTTTCCCCGTTGCATCGTAATAACTTCTCCCCCTTCCCTACCTTGGTTCGACCCAATAACAAGTACACACCTTATCCCTGAGACGGACGGCATTTGAACATGGCACAGAATGGGTTACTCGGAGGATATTTCAATTCGAGTCAACTGTCTTGTTCCGTGTTCGCCAGAGACACGACCACAATTGTGACAAATTAAAAATATCTCTCCAGACGCACAGACAGAGTCACGTTTAGTTGAAGTAAGCAGCCACGCCTACCATTTCGCAGGGATTTCGAGTGTAGAAGTGGTAGTACCATCGTAATACTTAAAGGCAAACTCGCGACCCGACCACAAATGCTGGGTAACAGAGTTCGATTACGAACGACGAAGTGCCAGGTAATTGATTAGTGGAGCAAAAAGCAGAAAAAGCCATCCGAAATGCCCTATATTGGACTCCGTGCCGATCCTAAGTTGTACTTGCATACAATGAAGAGAAGCCGTGTTTGGACGAATTTCCACTCGCTGTTATCATAACGATATCAGCTCTTCTCCCTTATCACCTCGCTCTCCATTCGGAATGGAGAAAGCTAGTTGAGTGGCTACTATCTTAGCCAGTAACCGCTCGGGTCGGAATGGGCTAAAGGGGTGGGCCTAGTTGTTCAACTTCCACCGGAATCCTTGCAAATTTCCATTTTTTGAGTGCAGCACAGCCTCCACAATCGCCTAGGTAAAGTGGTCGGTCACCCAAAGAAAAGGAATGTTCCGAGGAATGAAGAAGAGGTGAAATGTAGTCTTCTTGGGTGAAAATGGTCAATATTTCCACCCAACGAAGTTTACTAAGCAGCATTTACGGGCCTTTGCAGATATTGAGGCACGAAGCTCGGGTATTGGAAGGTATGCGGAAAGTTCGCTCGGTACATTTTATCAGCTATGAAGATCGCGGCAAGATCAGCGGCCGGTTCATGTTTGTCGTGCTCAGACTGGTAGGTCGTCTCCCGTTGAGGATTATCTAAGGGGAGTTAGGGCCAAACTTCCTTTTGAAATGGGATGGTTCATTTGGAACCCAGCGAGAGAGAGGGCTTCTGCAGGTACATTATTTTCAAGGTTGGCAAAAACTTATGGGACCTACGGATGGAAGCCATTGACAGGCGTTTCTCGATGTCCACTGGGATACGAGCCGCTGAGCAGACATTATCTGGGATAAGAGATTTGCACATTGTGAGTTTGCTGTTTCTGTTACAGAACAGTACTCTGCCTGATCTTGCAAGAGATCCACCTTCCGGTGGTAGTTTGCGGGCCAAAGACGGGTC